ACTTCGCACTTACATAGGTGACTTCTCAAGAGTATCATTCCGTATAAAAGCTCAACGCTTAGCCTTCACCACTGACAAGAGAGTCAACACTCGTTGCTCTATTTTCTTTGAAGGTGGCAGCGTTCTTGGTGGAGGCTACGTTTAGAAAGGCAGACAAAGACTTTCGTTATCGGTCGTAGAGGGAAGTTTAGTTGTTGGTGTATCAAGATTCATTATCACATATATTTTGTTCTGCGATTGTTGAAAAATATAGAGCAATGATGAGAAATTTGGAATGAAGCCGAGTTGAGGCCTCTTCTCGCAGAGTGAAATATGGCCAGTAGTGCTCCGGTGTATCCATATCACTCTCAAAGATAAAACGGTCTATATTCTCTCAAAGTGGCCTGACGAACAATGAGATATTATGATAATCGGTAGAGGGAGAAGAGTATTTTGATAAGAGTGTGTAGGCTTATTATTGTGTTTAGCACTAAGGTTAAGGGTCATGCCTATTTAAACTTTTCACGTAACAAACTTTGGGAGACTCTCTCTGATATGGTTACCAATAATCTATGTAACAACCATATCAAAAAATAATATCTCACACGATATGATATCAAAAGTCATATCTTACCCGATATTATATTAAACATTATATATATAAATCAATTATATAAGATATGTCTTATCTACTTAGTGTGGATAGAGTTTTTCCGAACTTCAATGTCCAATCCATAAGCTTATCACCGATTCAGTCCGACGCCCGATCTGAGTTCACAACTTGATTCTGCATATAACTATGTGCATGGATAATCATATTATATAATCTATTTCTCACTAATCATAATTCGGTTTTGAGAGTAGGCTCAACATTTAATCGCTATTTAATCTGATTTTATGAATTCTCAAAACGATAACTCTTATATGAAATTAGTTAGAAATGTATTGTTGATTTGAATTTTTGTTTAAATAATATTTTAGTGTATATTTTTATGAGATAAAATAATGTATTTTTATTAAAAACTATATTGAATAAATATTGTTAATTTGAATTTGAAATGGTAAAAGAACAAATCTATTAATATTTTCAACCAACAAAATTTTTTGATAGCCTTTACCTATTAATATTAACAAAAGTATAATATATACACATATTTACTTTATAAACTCAATAATCTAAAAGTGTGTTTGTTTGAGGGTTTGGATTTTGAGTTGGGATTTGAATAGTAAAAATTTTGAATTTGAATAGTTGTATGATGTGATATAAATAGGTGTTGATGTGATGTTTTGAATGTAAAATAAATTTTTAGTATAATATAAAAAATGAAAAATAGGTATTTGATTTGATATTTTTGGGGGAAAAAAATTGGATGAATAGTGTAAATTCAATCCAATCCCCCAAACAAACACACCCTAAATATATGAAGTTTGGTTTGATTTGATATTTGAAATTTAACTTAAATAATATTTCATAAAAAAAATAATACTCTCTTTCTCCCATTTTATTTGTCCGTTTTTTTTTTATATATATAGATACGCGAATTTAAGCAAAGTATAATTAGTAGATAATTAAAAAATATATTATTAAAAATAATTATTGTATAATATAAATAATTATAGATTAAAATAACTAATTAATTTAATTAGAATTAAGAATATTATAGATTACGAAATGTATTATACAATTAAAGTGTATAGTTATTTAAAAAAGACAAATTATATGTGAAAGACGGAAATGAAAAATATAAACAAATTACGTGAAACGAAAAAAATATGACTTTATTTGTCTAATTTTTTTTCGTGATATTAATTCTTAATATAAATATTCACAAAAATCAATATTTAATATAAAATATTATCTTTTATATGATCAACATGATTCTTATATCTTATATAAAAAGTTTCTTTCAAACAAAATACTAATGAACAAACCCTATATTTTATTAAAAAACATAAAAATTAAAATTAAATAAAAATAATTTAAATTTGAAATCCAAACAAAAATACACATGAGTAATATTTCATTCGTCTCAAATAATTTTTTAATCATTTTCATCTTATCAATTTTTTTTTTATTTTAGTAAACGTAATCATATTTTAATATTAAATTTCATTAATTTTTACTTAAATTATAAACAATAATGATACAATTGATATTTAAAAAAAAATTGGATAAAAACTACTAAATAAAAATATACTTAACCAATATAAATAACTTAATTAACTATACAACATATATCGTCATACATTACATACGACTCCTCTGTATTTTTATCTCGTTAAAAACAAATTTTACCTACATTTAAAAAACTCTATCTCTTTTCAAAATTAATTTATGTTAATGATAAATAAATAAAAGTATTTTTTTTATTACTTAGTATTATATAAAATTTCATTATTTGCAAAATAATATTCATATTACATATATTTTTATTATATTATAATTTTAAAATATTTAAATATTAAATTTATTTTAAAACTATTAATATTATTAATTATATAAAAATTATAAATTAATATAATAACTAAATATTACTCCCTCCGTCCCAATACAATAGTAGTCTTGTTTACTATTTTTGTCCGTCCCAAAACAATAGTCTTATTTCCATAAATAACCATATCACTATATAATTAACTACCATTGTTCTTTCATTATTATTACACAATTGCCACTACATTTTACACTAATACACTCACAAGGGCAAAAATGTCTTTTACCTATACTTTTTACCCACTGTCAATATAATATCAATATTTCTTAAATCTCGTACCCAACACAACCAAGACTATTGTTCCGGGACGGAGGGAATATTAACTAAATAATATTAGATGTGCCTAACAAAAATTGTAAATTATTATTTGTTTGGTTCGAGAGTTTAGGAGGGAAGCGGTTAAAGGGGAGGAGATGAGAAGGGAGGGGAGGCAATCTCTTTAAAAAAAAAATTCCCCTCCAATTTTGAGAAATGTGAAGGGGAGAGATTTTATTAAAATTTTCTTTTATCATATTATCTATTATACTTTTTAAATATTTTATTAAAAATTTGATAACATCTTCAAATTTTTAATATTTATTTATTTTATTTTTAATTATATCAAATAAATATTAACATATATATATATTGTACATAAGTTTAAATTATATTAGATATTTTGAAATATTTTTAATAAAATATTTTAATAAGTTTAATTATAATATTTTTTAACAAATCATATAGATTAGTTTATAATTATATCTACAATAATAATAATAATAATAATAATAATAATAATAATAATAATAATATTTTAATAAATAATTTAGTTTTGAATGAATAATATATTTTTTTAAACAAACAATTTATTATTTTTCAACAATAATTTCAATAAAAATACAATATGACTTAACGGTCTCAACTTAAACCTCCAATACAATCTTATATTAAAGACATAATCAAAACGCCTAAAAAAATTATTTTATCATATTGGACAAAAACATATTATATAAAATTTTATGAATAAATTAATCGAATTTTATTAAATATTTTAATTTTTCTTAATTTACACAATACAACGCAAAATAATAAAAAATTTCTATTTTTCCTCTCTTCTCCTACTTAACCAAACACGAAAATATTATTTTTCTTGACCTTCCTCCCTTTAGTTCCATAGGAACCAAATACACTATTACAATTTTAATATTTTTGTCCCTCCTTTCGTCTAACCGTCTATTTATTAAAATTTCTCCCATTCCCTCATTTGAACCAAACATTGTTCATGAATATGGTGAGATTTCATTGTATTTGAATTTTAAAATCCTAATGAGTACTTGTTAGGTTATAAAATTGAAGATAAAATTTTAAATGCATATAATTTTAAAATCTTGCAAATGCAAGATTTTTCAGTAACACTGTACCTATATTATTTTAAAATCTCATGCCATTGAATTTTATATTTTACTAATATACTCTCTCATAAAAAAAATCATATATATTTTTTTAATATTAAATGTATATATATTTATATTTAAATTATATTTTATTTATTTTATAAAATATAATATTATATTTGAGCATACTACTACAAATCATATATTTATTTATAATTATTAATGTTATTTATATTTAATTATTTTACTAATGATGATTTAAATAAATCAATAATTTAAAATATTAATTAATAATTTAAATTTATTTTACTTGTGTATTAAGTTTAAAGTGTTTTTTATACTCCCTCCGTTCTAAATAATATAAGTCTATTATTATATATACGAGAATTTAGGTAAATATAAGAAGTATATTAGTAAAAATAATTGTTATATAGTAAAAATAATTATAAATTAAGATTAAGATAACTAAATAGTTTAATTAAAATTAAAAAATTTTAAAATTTAAATTTTAAAATATGATTAAAGTGTATAATCAATTTTTTTTTTAAAAGGACGAATTATTTGGGATAAACGAAAATAGAAAATACGGACAAATTATGTGGAATGAAAGAAGTATTAAATATGAGAAAGAATGTCCATAGTATAAAAAATAATTAAATCATACTGTAGTATATTATATATTACTGTATATATTTTGTATGAATCTATATACATATTATATTTTTTATTATTAATAAAAAATTGTATTAATTATTTTTTATTAGAATACACTAAATTTAGTAAAAAATAAAATTACCGGAAAAAAAAGAACAAATGTAAAATTTAATTCATCAGAATAAATAAAACTCATTTAAAATATCAAAAATCCAAATCTTTCAATTAATCTGTAAAAAAAACTGGATTTGAAAATATAAATCCCATGTAATTTACCAACTAAACATAAAATAAATAATAAGTTCAAAACATAATAAATACTATCAGATCTAAATAATATCGTAAAATCTCAATCCAATAAAAAAAATCTTTGAACCAAATAAGCCATAAGTGGCGGAATAAATATTATCTTTTAATTTATTAAAATAGTACACCGTATATTGAGTGTTAAAGGTAGTCTAGTCCGCAGGCGGCTACTTAAGCCCAAATTGGAATTGGAGAAAACAAACCAAACCCTATATATACAAGACGACAAGACAAGACAAGAGTGTCGAGACCGATCGATCCTTCGCCGCGCCGCAGGATCTCCGCCGTCTGGCCAGTCACTTTTGCGAGAGAGAGATAGGGAGCGGTCACTAATCAGTCGGGGCAGGCAGGCATGGGGAAAAAGAAGAATGAAGTGGCCGGCAGCGACAAACACCACAGTCCGTCGTCTACCATATTTGTTGCCAATTTACCCTTCTCTTTCACCACTGATCAGGTGCAGAATCCCACTTTTGAGTGTGTGTTTGTGTCTTATTTTGATTAGGTTGGAGTTGTCTGAGCTGGTTATGTCTGCAATGCAATAGATGTGCGATGAAACAATTTGTTTGGATAGGCCTACTAATGTAATGACAACATTATGTTATTGTTTCCTGTGAATGTTTGTTTAGATGGAAGGAACTTTCAGTGAGATTGGACCAATAAGAAGATGCTTTATGGTTACCAAAAAAGGTACGCTAATCTAACGCCCACGTTGAATTTGAGGATCACATGAAACAAGTTTCTTATTTTAAATGCTGTGGACGACCAGTTGATTTTGAAATAGCTTGTTTTGAAGTTAAAAAATCATAGTGTTTTATTTCTTGTAGCAAAAACTTTTTGTGTCTGGACTAAGCTTTTATTTTTGATCGATTTTTGCTTGCTTGCTTATATATTAGGATCAAGTGAGCATCGAGGGTTTGGCTATGTTCAATTGTAAGTAAAATTTGCTTTTGTAATAATTTTTCTGGATTTTGTGAGTGGTTCTAGTGTTGATATTGATTTTCAATTTTAAGTGCTGCCATTGAAGATGCTAATCGTGCCATTGAGTTGAAAAATGGTTCAGCTGTTGGAGGTAGAAAGATTGTCGTTAAACATGCCATGCATCGTGCTCCTCTTGAACAGCGTCGAACAAAAGACAATGAAGGTGTGTTATTTTCAAACTGTAGCATCCTTTACGTGTCTGTTTCAGATTTAACTTTTACAAGTTTATGATCCTTTTGAATTTCTATTGCTATGTTTGGGATTCTTGATTTTCTCAGTTCAATCTGGAGAAGCTGTCAAACTAGAGAGTAACAATGACAAGGCTATGCAATTCAAAGCAAAAGGTTCCACTTCTAATTCTGCATGTGATATGTGGTGATATCATTCACATGAACACCATTGCTTGTTTTATGATTATGGTTTGGATTCTTGATTTTCTTCAGTTCAATCTGGAGATGCTGTTAAACCCGAGAATAACAAGGCTGTTACAGTGGCGGACAAAACTGACAAAGCTTCGCAATTCCAAACAAAAGGTTCTACTTTTAAGTTTGCATCTGATATGTGGTGATATCATTCACATGAACACCATTGCTTGTTTTATGATTATGGTTTGGATTCTTGATTTTCTTCAGCTCAATCTGGAGATGCTGTTAAACCCAAGAATAACAAGGCTGTTACAGTGGCAGGCAAAACTGACAAGGCTTCGCAATTCCATGCAAAAGGTTCTAGTTTCAAGTCTCCATATGATATGTGGTGATATCATTCACTTGCACACCATTGCTTGTTTTGTTATTGACCTTGTTAATATTGAAAATATCAGGTGAGTCAAGTAATGAGAGAAAAGCCGTTGCAGTTTCTAGTATTCGTCCCGAGGAAGTGAAAAGTTCTGAAAAACAAAGGTTATGACCCTTTCTGAAACGTTATAATTGCTAAATTATGTTAATTATGTTAGCATATTTAAACTTTTATTACCCCTTTTTGTGATAGAATGCATATCATATATATTTGTTGACAATTATTGTTTCAGTTTACGATATTCATAACTATAGTTTGGTTTAATTCTGTGTTAGAATAGACATAAACAGCCCTAGTTGTCTTGCTAAGTAAGCTGTCTACAAATTGTTGGTAAGAATGCCTCACATTCCTGTAAGTCAATTTAAGCTTGTGTAGATCCATGAAACATGTTATCCACTCCTCAATGGACTGCGAAGCATGCACTTTACTTACCCTTTTCCCAGTTAATTGTAGTTTGAGTGGTAAAGGTTTGACAAGTTGCTTAAAACTGTGAACCAAGTTATTCTCATAGTAAGGTTTACTGTTTTATATACATTGTGTATGGTTGGGAGATTTTGCCCCCCCCCCCCCCCTCCCCCCCCCAAAAAGAAAATCAAATCAAATTTTTATATTATGTTAAAAATCAATTTTAATTTTAGTTATATATTGTATATATATTCTGATTAAGATAAATAGTAAATAAAAATTACTGTACGGTATTGTTATAGAAGCTGTGCTGGCTCATTATGTTTGAGGCATGATACTATTTACCATCTCAGAACTTTTATTTGATTTTTAAACCTTAATGCTACTGCTAGGGGTGGTCTAGAAACTTCCACAATTGACCCTTAGAGTCTGAGTTGCAGTATTTGAGTCCTCAAGTTCAGTTTCCTTCATCATGGTCTTCACAATTTTATGATAGTTCTTGGGTATCTAATGGAAGGTTGAGGGTATTTCCATAAAGAATCCTAAAGAACCATTTGATAACCTTATGTAAATTTTAATTTTGAAGGCTTAGTTTGATCATGCAGTATATTCAATAATTTAAGGAGTATTTCGCAATATTTATAGATCACCAACATTTATTGAGTTAGTATCATTTGTTTTGTTAAACAGGGTTGCTAAGACAGTCATATTAGGTGGTCTGGTTAATGCTAATATGGCTGGGGAAATCAATTTCAAAGCGAGGGAATTCGGGACTGTTTGCTCGTTTGTATACCCTCTTCCAGAAGAAGAACTTAAGCGTCATGGTAAAATATATGAACCTTATTTCTTCAAATAATGACATGGCTGGTCACAAAAACACTTCCTGATTATCCAAGTAGTTTTGCTTGTTCCATTTTAAGTAATTATTATATTAACGGTAAACTGTTAGCAGTTATTAATTTTGGTAGACCGTATTTCTGCGAGACTCTTTTGCTTTAATGCCTTCCATATTCCCTGCAATAAATTCCAATTGCTTATTTGGACCACTTTACATATTTGCAATTTTGCATACTTGCTATAGTGTATTTGAATAGTTTTACGGTTATAGGCACTGAGATATGTGAATATTTTCAGGACTAGCAAGAGATGGGTGCAAAATAAATGCTGCATCAGTGCTCTTTGGAAGTATAAAAGCAGCTCGTGAGTGTGTGGCAGCTTTACACCAGAAAGAGATACATGGAGGATCTGTTTGGGCACGCCAGCTTGGGGGAGAGGTAATGTAGTATTTGGTTCACCTAAACAACATTGGTCACATATATATTTCATTTCAGGGCCACAAAACCAACATAATGAACTGCCTTACTGGCTAAAGCACTTACTATTTTATTTTAAATGATGTGAAAGAATAATCTAAACTTACTAGCTCTTCTTTTCTCTTGATTGGCATAGTTTCTAACAATTGATGTGTTGACCAGGGGTCTAAAACTCAGAAGTGGAAACTCATTGTGAGAAATCTTCCATTTAAGGTTCTTATCCTTATCTGAGTAGATTTCAGTTTTGATGAACATTGTTTTAATCTACTAATAATGCTTTATATTTATATAATGAGTTGTCTATTTTCTTTGTTTAAACATGGCTGATATACTTCTTTTCAAACGGTTGGTTGCAGGCCAAAGAAACCGAGATAAAAGATATGTTTTCTGCTGCAGGATTTGTATGGGATGTTTTTATTCCTCGAAAACCTGAGACTGGGTAATCCTTTGAATTTGTTATCAATCGTTTAGTATCTATGTATGTTGTGTGTCTGTGCTCGACTGTACTCTCCTCGTTGTTGCATTTTGCAGGTTATCCAAAGGATATGCATTTGTTAAGTTCACATCAAAACAAGAGGCAGAAACAGTATGTTACGTGTTTTCTTAATGATGCTGTTTCTAGAAACTTAATTAGATGAAGAACTTTTTCTGCTTTTTCATTACGTAAAATGGGAAGTTGACAACTGTTTGCATATATATTTGTACGAGTTCAATATATTTGGTTTTCACCACTGACAGGCTATCCAGAAGTTCAATGGGAAAAGTTTTGGTAAAAGACCAATTGCTGTTGATTGGGCTGTTCCAAAGAGAACTTATATTTCTGGCAATGATACTGTTGCTGCAGTAGACAATGGTATTTGACTTTATTTCCTCTTTGATTATTATTATGATTATTATTATTATTATTATTATTATTATTTCCTCCTCCCGGTTCTCTTAGTGGTTTTTTGGAATCAATAATTATTTTCATGATTTCAGCTTCATCTAATCTGTCATTGTTACTAATTTAAATATATTTTGCACAAAGTACCAGCAGTTGATTGGCCGGCTGGTTTATTTATTTTCCACCAATTCTTGTGTATTTTCAAGTAGATGTTTTGTGCCTTATGGGCAGGGGCGTTTACATTCACTCAATCAATATGTGGATTTACAGGAGATGAAAAAGATGGTGGAAGCCGTAGTGGATCAGAGGATAGTGATGGGGAGCCAGTCCAAAAATCACAAGTGCATGGAAGTGATAATGTGGATGAAGCTGATTCATCTGAGGAGAACACTAGCGACATTGAAGTAGATTTTGAGGAAGAGACTGAGATAGCCAAAAATGTAATTAAGAATTTGATATCATCATCTTCTAAACATGCTTCTGGCAGCAATGATTTGGAAGCTGTGTCTGAGGAAAACAGTGAGGATAAATCAATTTCAGTCGAAAAGAAACACAGTGTTCCATCCAGCACCCTGGTGTCTACCACAAGTGATGATGGGGCTAAGCCAAATCAAGAAGATGAGTTGCAGAGAACAATATTTATTAGCAATCTTCCCTTTGATATCACTACAGAGGAAGTCAAAGAACGATTTGCAGCTTTTGGTGAAGTGCAGTCCTTCATACCAGTGCTTCACCAAGTCACAAAGTAAGAATGCATTTTGTTGGACAATCATTAATAACAACTTTAGTAGTATCTCTGTTCAAAGAGCTCTTATGTTTTTGCAGGCGTCCCAGAGGAACTGGTTTTCTCAAGTTCACAACAACAGATGGTGCAGATGCTGCATTTTCCGCAGCCAACACTGTAGCCGGATTGGGAATATTAATTAAAGGCCGACACGTAAAGGTATTGAAGGCATTGGACAAGAAAACAGCTCATGATAAAGCATCAGAGAAGGCTAAAAAGCAAGAGCACGATAACCGCAATCTTTACCTGGCAAAGGTGATCACCTGGTTCAACTCATTCTTATCAACTTATTCTAAACTAAATTCATATTATATTCATAGGTTCTCTTTGTTAACTGACCTAATTCGAACATTGTGGTTCATCACTTTACAGGAGGGTCTTATCTTGGAAGGGATGCCTGCTGCAGCTGGAGTTTCTGAAAGTGATATGTCAAAACGCAAGAAGTATGTGCTTCGATAATAAATTGACCTGGCTATTTTAGCTGTTTTTACATCTAGCAATTGAGTGCATGGCTGAATAACTGTCTGAAGTTTGAATTTTTAACTTCTAATCTTAAGAGCATTATATGTTTGTTGGTTTTGTTTTCTATTTAGGTTGCACGAAGATAAGACAGCTAAACTTCGGTCTCCAAATTTCCGTGTGTCAAGGACAAGACTCATCATGTACAATGTGCCTAAAAGTATGAAAGAAAATAATCTTAAAAAACTGTTTGTAGATGCAATCACCTCTCGAGCTACAAAGCAAAAGCCCACAATTTTGCAGGTTTGGCCTGGTTTATAGGTTTCTAATCCCAAAAGATGCAATTTCTTGAGTGTTCATCTTCCAAGAAGTACTTTTAATGCCTGGCCTTAATGTTGTTCAGATAAAGATATTGGATGGTTCCAAAAAAGACAAAGAACGTGGAAAAAGCCGTCTGCGTGGAGTAGCATTTATAGAGTTCACCGAACATCAACATGCCCTTGTCGCCCTAAGAGTTCTTAATAACAATCCTGGTCAGTATATTTTCTGAAAATTAGCATCTCTATGATTTGGTGGGTGGTTCTATACCCAAGCTATCATCATATCTCAATGAAATCTGGCTGTGCTTAAAAAAAAGTTCCTTTATATTGAATGTCAGAATTTTCTTTGCCTTAGATTGTAATGCAGTGTTCTTAAGTGGCATACAGATACTTTTGGTTCTGAACATCGTCCGATTGTGGAGTTTGCTTTAGACAATGTCCAGAAGCTAAAGCTTAGGCAAGAAAGGATTCAATCTCAGCAACTGGCTCTTCATAACAATACTCGAAATGATGATTCAAACATGGCGGTTTCTAATGCTGAAAAGAAGTCTAGAAAACGCAAGTTTAAAGATGTTGACATGCCGTCAGTAGGTGACAAACTTGCCTCAGTTGTTGAAGCCGAAGACAGTTGTACAAAGAAGCAAAATTCCCATTCTCAGAAAAATTCAAACAAGCAGTTGTCAAAGTCAAAGAAAAAGCAGCAAAAGCTATTTGACGAGGAGTCGAGGCATGAGCAGAAAGGAAGGTGGGCAATGGGTCAGGAGAACACCAGACGAACAACTATGGAAGGCACTCACACTCACAGTGTTGCTAGTAGACGTGAAGACGGAAAAGATGAAATGCAAAGAAAAAGAAAGAATGTCTTCAGCAATGAATCTGAAAAGGTTTTTGACGACGAACAGAGGCAGCAGAGGAAGCATCGAAGAAAGAAGATGGAGCCAGTGGGAAGAGATGTAGTGGATAAGCTCGATGTTTTGATTGAAAAATACCGATCGAAATTTTCCGGGAGTGAATCGGGTATTGGTAATGGTAATGGTAAGCAAGGGTCGAACAAGCTCAAACGATGGTTTGCTTCCTAAGTTGAAATTAGGAGGAGGAGGCTTGATTTGATGAAAACATTAGAGAAAATTTTGATGATTGTGTCATGTCACCTGCAGCAGCAGCAGCCAGCTTAGAATTATTATATCGAAAATTCATTCTGAAACTGAAAGCAAACACCGTCTGTACGTGCAAGTAATATTTACATTTTTGGGATGTTGTGTTACTCTGTGTTGTCTTGTGTGTTCTTATTGTGAATGGAAATACGATTCGATTGAAGGTTTACAATATATATATATATATATATGTACAAACAAATAAATAAAATACTAACAAGTTTTCTTAACTATTCTAAATACTAATAGGCCTAAACATACAATAAATTCAACATTATGCTTCAAACTCCAAGATATGAACCGTATAATTCAAAGTTTGTCATACAAAAATTTGATTTGAGGGCCTCTAAAGTATTCCATTTTGGAGAGTAAACTAAAATATAAAGAAATAAATAATAGGAGATATTAATTTCAACAGAGCCTTTGTAGCCACTTGTTTCAATATAATTTGGACACATGACATAGAAATATTATATATATATATATATATTATTTTGTTATTTTTTTTTGAATAATTATTATATTAGTGGAAAGCTATGCTTTGTACGCCCAAATGATAAATTAATTATTTGGTTAATTTTCTTTCAAAATATCGTATTAATATATATTTTTAAAAAATATTTATATAATTATTAAATTATTAAAATTAATTGTTGTTATTTAAAATAATGAATATATAAAATTTAAATATAAAAATAGTATAAATAAATTAATACGTTAGAAAATTGTAATCAAAACATGAATTTAATTGTAAAGCCAAGTTTTATATTATATTCTTTTAATCGAGAATTTGGTAAAATGCCATGTCATATTCACGAAAAATTTAATTGGATAAACAAATCAATTGATTTGTTCTTTATTATAAAGCCAAGTTTTATTAGCATATTACTACTATTTTGTTATTATTATCGTATTAATTGTAATTCAATTACATATTTTTTTGGCCATCTATATAATATTTTTTTCGTTCTACGTCTTGTATCCAGTTAACTGTAAATACAAAAATTTATGTAAAATATAATTAGTAAATAATTAAATAGTGTATTACTAATAATAATTATTGTATAATAAAATTAATTATAATTTAAGATTAAATAATTAAATAATATAATTAGTATCTAAGAAATTAAAATGTAATTAAAATTTATAATTATATTTCTTAAAAATGAAAAGATATATAAGATGGGACAGATCTAATAGAAATAATTAATGAAAAAAGTGGGATGGATAAAGTATCAGTTACTACAATATTGTGTAAAATTTTTTTAAAGAGCTGATATGGTGCCGATTATATTAAAGATTTTACGCAATCAACAATTTAATAAAAATATAAATATATATTTTTACATAGCATAATATATATTGTGTTATAATAAAATATTATAAATATATTATGTTGTGACTACAATTATAAAAATTGAAATAATATACAATATAATCAATTATCCCACCATCACAATTAATACTTTTATCTACCCCGGTTAACATCCACCCAACTCAACTTCTAACTACTCTCTCTGTCTCGATCTCACATATCACTCTCTGTCTTTCTCTATTAGACCATTCGTCTAGGGTTTCTTCTCAATAAAAACACCGTTGTCCCCAGTGTCTTCGCTGGTGAATCGTCTGGAAAAGACCAGAAATGACATATCATCTTCACGATGAGCTAGATGAGATGTCGGAATCAATTCGTGTCCTTCAGCTTTGATCGACGATTATGAAATCGACTTTGGTGACATCGTTGCTGTCAATTATGAGTTTGAGGACAAGTAGGGTTTGGGTGTGGGGTTGAAAGATCGATAATACCTTTTTCGGAAACTCCAAAAACCCCAAAAATCCAACCTCACTCGCGAAGTGTTGTTGATGTTTCTCCCAATCTTGTGTTCGCTACGTATAAAGTTGAAGGAGTACAAAAAATGTATGAATCAGTGTATTTTGTTTCATTATGAAGGGATTAAAATACTTTTCGACCACTGTGCATATTTACTTTCTTATTTGTTGGATTTGAATATTTGTTCCGCTACTGATTACATCCTATTTTTGTCGAGGGTTTGCTTCCGAATGCTGTTGAAACTTTGGGGGGTTTCAGTGTGGTACATGTACTGGCTTCTTGTGCGAATTTGAATCCGATGTGATATGGCTTGAACCCAATACTTTGTTGGTTGTGAAACTGTTTCTACTTTTACATGCTGGTACATGACACATTTGTGCTTGTTTGTTGGGAGTTTGAGTACTTTCAATTAAATGATGAGAAACATAATACTGATTGGATATTAGCAACGCTGATGAGAAATATATGTTCTACGAAGTTTCGGAGACATACATATTAATGTTTTGTCACCTCGCGTACAACAGTGCACGTCCCTGCTAGTCCAATTATTTTTGTATCCGTTTTCTCCCAATCTGAGAGTGATTTGATTACACTATCTGATGATTAAAGAACATGTTCTCCTCTCCTACTCACTCGATGATGAATTTTTTATATAAGTGTGATCCTCATACCTTAAACGAACCCAACACATGTTGTATTAAGTCAATTTCTACTTGATGATAACCTTTGATTTTTCCATATTTTATAATTTATTTTTATTTAATTAATTAATTATTTATTTATTTTATATTTTGGTATTATTTCTATTAATTTATCCCAATAATTATTGCATATTGTATATGAAATATTAATTTATTAGTTTTTAATTTATAATTTATTTGGTTTATAAATTAAATTAATTGATGTGTTCTTTTAATGATGTTTTTAGACATTATGTAGGTGTTATTTTAAGTATTTAAATTTGGCTAAATTAATATTGTTTAATAAGTATTATTTATTTAAATAAATATTTATAAGATGTTTATTATTTATGCAGGTAAAATAATACTTGAAACTGGTATAAGAGTCCAAAATTGGCCTAAAAAAGCGAAAAGTGGCTTCAAGAGTAAAAAACAACCGCCGGCGCAAAAATCAACAATTTGAATAATACCCCCCACACCTAAATCATATATTGTCTTCTATATAAAGAAAATGAAAAATGGAAAGAAACTTTATTGTGTCCCAGATCGAAATATTGGCCGAAGAATGCCGAGGAGCGCCACGAAGGAGCCTGTGGTGTGCAAACACAGAGAGGCTAGCGAAGAACCTTCGAGACGTTCCGAAACCTCCTGAAATATTCTAGGACTTTCCAGAATGTTCCGGAATCTCCTGGAATATTCTGAAACATTATAGAAGTACCGAGATCACCCATTTGACCGAACTAGTGTCTATCCGTTTGACATGCTTTATCCGTATTTCTTTATTTAGCTTATCTTATCTGTATCTTGTATAGATAGAATCTATCTGAGTGTGGATATGCTTTTGTCTGCGTTAGGCCCGGTCCATTAGAGTGATTATGTATAGGGGAGAACCCCTCAGTTGTACTTCACTTCACTTTTGAGAGAGCTAATATACATTCTACTTTGCCGCGTGCATGTTGTGGTGTTCTTGCTTTTTAGCTAAGAGTGGAGTCGTGTGCGAGGCTGTACTAGCGAGTTTCTCGTAAGCGTCATCGAATTGCTAGGCCGACGGGAAGGTATTCGAGGAGGAACCATCCGACCCGTTACAAGTGGTATCAAAGCTGCATTTGAGGGATGACAACCGACAAGTCTGATGCTGAGTTTGAGGTTAAGAACCAGGTCCCGAGGCAGAACCAGAGAAATGCGAGGGACAAGTTTGTGGATATCATGGGATCATTCGAGAACCGCTTGGCCAGGGTGGAGCTGACCATAAGAGATCATCATGACAAGCTCGACGAGATCGAGTAACGTATCTGCGAACTCGAGGGCAGTGAGTTGCACGATGGGATACTGACCTTGATCAATGCCGAGAGAGAGAAGTTTTGGAAACGAGAACAGACGATGATGGCGCTTACCGAGGCACTGAAGGCCGATGTGGTCACTCTGAAGGAGATCACGGGGGAGTGCAAGGTCCAGTTCTCAAGGATGGAGAAAGCTAAGGTTGCGAAACCTTCGAGTGTTCAAGAGGAGTTGGCAATGTTTAGGGCAGCACTAGCCAAAATTCAGGCGAGGAGACCGATTGGGGTTGCCTCGGCAACCCTAAAGCGGAATATACCGTGCCCGGAGAGTTATTATGGGGAGCGGAAGGCTCGAGTTGTGGATGATTTTTTCCATGATATGGAGAAATACTTCGAGGATTCTGAAATCATGGGAGACGAAGCCAAAATCCAACAGAACCTCGGTTCTTAAAGAGATTGGCCCGTACTTGGTGGAGACGAAACAAGAGGATGCATGGCAATGAGGGGAGCATCACGACTTGAAGAATATTCAAGTGTGACCTTAAGGCAGAATTTGCACCGGCCGATGCAGTGGAGAAGACATGATGTACAATTCGTCAGTTAGAGCATCGAGAGGGTCCTTTGAAAGAGTACATTGAGAAGTTTTCCGATCTATTGTTGGAGGTGCCAAATATGTCCCCTAAGGAGGTGTTGTTGACATTCTTGGAGGGCCTGAGGCCGTGGGCTAAGTTGAGGATTAAGAAGAAGCTCCCTTCAAGTGTCAACGAGGCAATCATGTACGCTCAATGGTTGCTTGAGGTTGAGCTGAAGGAGTCAAGTAAAGACGACTAATCAATGAGGATTAACCAAGATAGAAATGGGGGAGACCAAACCTGGCAGACTCCATGGGTTAGTGATACCGATGAGACTTGATAGCAGTCTGCAACTAGGGTCGGGAATGCGAGGAAGCCAAGGCCGACATATGACGGGTGCTTTGTCTGTAGGAGCAATGATCAATATACGAGGGATTGTCCAAGTCGGGGAGGAATTGTGGTGGTAGACCTACAACCGGAGGCGACAAAAGGCCAGGTGGCCTACACAAAGTTGGCCCTTGCTAATACCCTTAGAGGAAGGATGCTCATTAAAGCATGGATAGGTGGAGTTTTGGTGACATGCTTACTCGACCCGAACGCTGACGAAAACTACCTGAGCGAACAACGGGCCCGTAAGATTGGCCTACGATGGGTACCTTCGGGAGGGCGATTCAAAGGAGTCAATGGTGGGTGGACTTCCATATCTGGTATGGCTAGAGACATGCCCATCCATCTCGGCAATTGGAAAGATATGGAACTATTTAATATAACTCATATGGATGATAATGCCGTATTTCTAGGGATGAGGTTCATG